CACTAAAAAGGAGATTGATACATAGATAACAGATGTGTTAATTGAGTGTTTAAATATGTATCTCATATGATGTATTGTATATAGAAAATAAGATCAATAATCACATAATTTTGCAGGATTTGGCAGATTTTGTGACCAGATATCTCCATCAGATTCCTAATTTCTTTCAAACTGTATTATTGTATTACTTTAAAATCCTTACAACTTACTATGTGACGGGTACAGAGGTTTATTCAAAAATCTCTTGCAACTGTTATTAGTCTAATACTATCCTTACCTTTTGTGTCACTTTACCCCACTCCCTCTAGCATGTAAGCTCATTGAGCAGGGCCCTCAACCCCTATGTTCGTGTGTGTCCGACTTGTCTGGTTACAACTACATGTCTGTTCGTCCACCCACTGTAAAGCGCTGCGGAATATTTTGGAGCTAAATAAATAATAACATAATAATAATAATAATAATAAAAAAATAGCCTTCCAAAACTGTCAAGACAGTACAAGAAGGGGATGTCAGCCTGGCCAAAAGCTATGCTCATCAGCCTTAGGATAACCATGTGTGGGATTTGGTTTTCATAGAGCAAGCGCATATAATGATACTCTCACTCTGAGCCTATTCAGGACTTGTCTCTGATGTCTCCGTAAGCAGGATAACGGGCACACATCAGGAACTGCTGGACAGACTTATAGACTCAGAAATGTTTCACCAAATCTGGATGAGAGCGAGGTATGCATAAAGTAAAACAGACAACGCACTATATTAATTGCTAAATTGTTACTTGGTATGTAGGACATATTGCTATCCCTTCCTATCAGGGTATTGGAGAGATGCTTACAATATCTTTTTATTATTATTTTTATTTATTTATTAAATGCATGAACCTCTTCTTAGCTCTTTAATCACTTCCCAACCTAAATGCTTCTAAAAATGTATCTTAAAACCCTCAGGCCATCAACTTTAAATATCAATTCTCCATGATAACCTTTAGATGTTAAGCTCATGCACAATCTTGCGTAAAAAGTGCTGGTTAGGTGAATTTTTAAGCCCGAAGGCAGGTACCTCTGTCCCTTTTGGACAGGTTTCTGTAAATTATAGTATCTGGTTTACCCTAACTCTACAGCTTTGTGAAGCTTGTTGGAGCTTTATCAATATTAATTAAAATTACGACAAAAAAAACTAGATACAATAAAATCAGTAGATAATATAGCACTTGAAAATTAAAAACCACAAGACAGTTAATTGGAATTGTTCTCCAGTGAATGCAGTAAATGAACATAGCTAAAATACAACACCCAGCTGCAATAAGTGTATAACTCCCACAATTATCTTCTACTTTCAACCTGAAGGAAAGTAATAGGATATGTAGTTAACCACATCTGTTGGCCACCTTTCAATACTGTAAGACCTGTTAGGAGATGGACTCTCGGTTTGACACTTGATTTTCGCTCAGTCCTCTCAATCACCAAACAGCCTGACTCTGAAACCGTTATTAGGAGGAATGAAGAAATGTGTTGTACAAGCACATGACTAACCACCCCTGACGCCAATCTATCCAATATCTGACCTGCCAGAGTTAAGCTCCTGTAGTAAATTGTGTTTTATTTTTAATATTTGTGGTATTCAGAGAGGCAAACCTAAAAAAAAAGAAAATAGGCGTAAATGTTAATTTAAAAAAAATAGTCTATCTAAATCTAAATCTGCTGTCACAATAAATGTATCTTTATTATATCATTTATTCTAAATCAAGCACAGTCAAACTCTAGGAAGTTGGAATTTGAAAAGGATATTAATTAATAAAAGGTACTTAGTTTACACCAGATTTTTTGCGTAATTCCAAATTAAAATGGACTTTCTAAATTATTTATCTCCAGTTCTCAAATTGTGCCTACATTTATTTGAATGCATATCCTGTACTAGTATATCCTACTTTTTTTCAATGTATAGTTTATCTACCACGCTCTCTGTAAAGCAATATGTCCTGACATTTCCCGGGAGTGCTCCAAATTCAGAGTCCAATCTCTTGTTCCAACAGTTCTTTTACTTAAATAAGCTTCTCCTTGAACTTTGCTGACTCTATTAAAGAATATAGAAAGGATATTTATTTCCTACTTCTCTCTTGCATTCTACGGTCTACATGCTGGATTTTATTTTCAATTTCACCTAGTCAATTTTATAGTATAGTCCATGCACCGACAAACCCACACAGTTGAAATGCCAATGGAAATCAGAAGAAACTATAAATCCATATAAATTCATATTTTCATTGAGGTATCTTAGGTATAGTCAGAGGCAGAGATTATGGGCCAGAATCAGGTGCTTTTCTTGGTAAAAAAAAATAATGAAAAGAGAAAGTATATATAATATATAAATATTCATAATTTGGAGCGTTTTCTCTGTGATGACAGAAATTAGTTGGACCCTTCCAAAAATCTATTAATCGGTAAGTAAGTAGCAGAGGCTGAGTTGTACTGCCATTGTTGGAGTAATTTGAAAAATCATGGTGATTTTAATTTACTTTGATTACAGTGTAACACAATTTATTACTTTTCACGTTTGAAATATTAATGGCAGCCAGGATAACCCAGAGGTTCAAAATTCTCATTATGGATCAATTAGCTAGATTTATTTTCTGATAAGGATGGTTTGCTCCGGAAGCGATGTCAATTACACACAGTCAAAAGTTAAATAAAATGTTCCATTTTGGTTTCAAGCTGTCTGATTCTCTGGAGCATGGACTCTCCAGCTTCATAAATGGCTAGGACATTGCACATGGCTCACAAAAGGCAGGCATTAAAGGACTAATCAAATTTTCAGTTTAATTAACCCCCTTTATGCTGCCAGTCATGTGTATACAATTGCCAGGGTATTTAGCCATACTTCACAAATCTGTACAGGATTTTAACCATTGCAAATGAAAATGGCAATGGCTGTAAGGATAGTAGAGACAATGCTAGCATTCTAGCACCAGCTCTACTGAGCCCCTCACAGCTGCACGGCACTGCACTCACTGCCAGTGCACACACAGTCACCCTGTCACAGTCACCTTCCAACAATCACCCCTCACACACAGCCACCCTCTCACAGTCACGTTGACATAGTCCCTCTGTCAAACTCACTCTGTCTCAATTACCATTCCACAGTAAACACTAAACACTAGGGAGCTGAAGTAGGATAGCAGTAAAGAACCCTGAAGTTGGGACAAACATACATATAGACAAACAAACACACTGATGTACAGAGACACACAGTATGTGTTTGTGTGTCTTTGTACATGAGTGTGTTTGTTTGAGTCCATAACATATATGCGAGAGAATTATTGAATATGTAGGGAGAAAAAAGTCTACTTATTGACAACACTCATTTCTTGTATATAATGTATTTATTTGGTGTATAAATAAATTTTTTAGATTTTTTCTGTCTAACCAAAAATGTTAATTTTATTTCCATTAAGTAATGTGTTATCTATGTACACTAAAGCAATAAAACATTACTTTAAGGTTTTTTTTTTTTTGCAAACCGCTTGGTAGTGAAGGATTTAATAACTGTTTGTGACCTATATGAGTGTTCTAATAAAACAATATACCGTATATACTCGAGTATAAGTCGACCCGAATATAAGTCGAGACCCCTAATTTTACCCCCAAAAACTGGGAAAACATATTGACTCGAGTATAAGACTAGGGTGAGAAATGCAGCAGCTACTGGTAAATTTCTAAATAAAATTATATCCCCAAAAATTATATTAATTGAATATTTATTTACAATGTATGTATATAATGAATGCAGTGTGTGTGTATATAATGCAGTGTGTTTGTATGAATGCGGTGTGTGTGTATGAGTGCAGTGTGTGTGTGTGTATGAATGCAGTGTGTGTGTGTGTATGAGTGCAGTGTGTCTGTGTGTATGAATGCAGTGTGTGTGTATGAATGCAGTGTGTGTATGAATGCAGTGTGTGTGTGTATATAATGCAGTGTGTTTGTATGAATGCGGTTTGTGCGTGTGTGTGTATGAATGCAGTGTGTGCGTGTATGTATGAGTGCAGTGTGTGTGTATGAATGCAGTGTGTGTGTGTGTATGAATGCAGTGTGTGTGTGATGCAGAGTGTGTTTGTGTGTGTGATGCAGAGCCTTGGTGGGTGGTGGGTATTTTTATTAATTTTTTTTAATTATTATTATTTTAATATTATTTTTTATATATTATTAATATTTTATTTTAATTTTATTATTCTTTAAATTTTTATTTATTTATATTTTTTTGTCCCCCCTCCCTACTTGTTCGCTGGCCAGGGAGGGGGACTCTCATTCCCTGGTGGTCCAGTGGATGGGCTGTGTAGGAGGGGGGCTGGCAGAGAGCTGTAACTTACCTTTCCTGCAGCTCCTGTGAGCTCCCTTCTCTCTCCTCTGGTCCGGTCAGCTCCCCTGTCAGCTCCACTGTAAGTCTCACGGTCTGAGTGCCACGCGGAGCGTTGCCACGGTAATCCGTGGCAACGCTCTGACCCCGCAGCTCTCGCGAGACTTACAGTGGAGCTGACAGGGGAGCTGACCGGACCGGAGGAGAGAGAAGGGAGCTGATAGGAGCTGCAGGAAAGGTAAGTTACAGCTATCTGCCAGCCCCCAACAGGACCGCCGGGCTTGTAATGAGCCCAGTGGTCCTTGTCTGTATTATGGCAATGTAAGTTGCCATAATACAGACAGTGACTCGAGTACAAGATGAGTGGGGGGTTTTCAGCACAAAAAATGTGTTGAAAAACTCGTCTTATACTCGAGTATATACAGTATTTAAATATATTTTGACAGTTTATTACATAAATATCAAATGTATGATTTAACTCAAAATAAATAAAAGTATATCTTTTCAATTTAGCTTGGCTTTTATTTCCTTCCAAAATTAAGCATGGAGACCCAGACTATTGGTATTTTTATTCATCTCAATTTTAAACAGTTATTAAAAATATTAGAGAGAAATTTACATTTTTTGGACATTGCCCAGGCTCTCTGCGGCTCTCACCAATGCGCTCTTTCCCCGGATGCTGGATCTGTTGAGTTGACATCTGAGCCTCCAGCCATCGCCAGAATCTCTGGAACACTTTATCCAGCCTTTGGAGAATGCAGACCACCGAGCCTAGTAGGACCGTCCCCAACCTTTGCAGCTTGTACCTCTGTATAGAGAGTTCGTCCGCCATCTTGGATGTGTCTGCCGGGTGCACCATGCGGTATGTGTCGGTAGCTCGGTTGCGGTGTGAGGCTATGGGGTAAGCCAGGGGGACCGGGATAACCCACGCAGGCCCATAGTGGGGTGGGGTACAGCTCTATTCAAGTTGCTCACCGCCAGTCTGAGCTGTATGAGAGCGGCCACCTCTCCTCAGCCTGGTCACTGGTAAGCCGCAAATCCTCAAGTCAGATTTCCCGGTGGCAGAGAAGCCCTCGAAAGGTATCCCCGGAACCACCGGATTTTCAGGAACACTCTCAATGTTGATCTGCATCCAGGTAAATCTTTGGCTCGGTAGTTTAGTCGGTTTTGTGGTGCCAGACGTGGGAGCTCTCGCAACACATGTCTGGTCTGTTCAATCGCTTGGCTCAGCCCCCCATTATGAAGATTTTTATTGAATTTGGAATACTCTTGTACTGTGAAATCACTAAGTTAGTGACACTCAAAGAGTTAATTATTAAATTGTGGATTGTTGGAAAATCAAAGTGACTTTACAATGAATTTCAAGTTTTAGTTCAAAATAACCTAACAAAAAGCAGATTTTTTTTTTTCAATTTCGCTACTTTGATCTAAAATATTTTTAATTCTCTCTAAATTCATTTCACTAGACTCCTTAGTTCAGCTGTTTCCAACCAAGTCCTCATGACCCACCAACAGTCCAGGATTTCTGTATTTCCATTTTTTATTCCATGGAGATACTGACAGAACCTGGACTGAGGACTAGTTTGGAAACCACTTCCTTCGTAAATAAAACTTACAAAAGTGAAAACCTACAGAATGTGAGCACACTATATCATGTGTACATTGGATTATTTACCAAAACAAATATTTCCCAGGATCCTGGACACCAGTTTCAATAGACATTCATAAAGTATTTATCGTTTCAGCAGACATATTGAATTTTGGATATAAATATTTAAAATCAATACATGTATAAATATCCACTGTGTACAACATTGTCAACCTCTGCTAATGTCAGGCATTCTATAGGAAGGACACAATTATTTGCTGTCCTATTATTAATTGCATTGAAACTCAAAAAATAGCAATACTTAAAGAAACAAATCAATAATTTTATAGTGCATAGTGTACTAATACTGAGAGAGAAAAGGAGTTTAGACAGTGGGCCTACCAGGACTGGATGTCCAATTAGGTAAAGTAGGGGGTGCCTATTTAGCCTGTTAAAGGTCCAGACTCTTCTCTTATTCTTATCATATCTCGAGAGCTCTCTTGTATTTTGCTATCTGTAAGCTTAGTTTTTGTTTAAAGTTTGGACATGTGAGCCTAGCCTGAATATGTTATCCCCAAAATGTACAGTATTCTTGAATGCCTACGACTGTTATACAATGTATTCTGCTATACTTGCTCCTACTGGTAGGGCATTGCAAGCTTGTATGTATTTCTTTGCACTGCAAAAACATTTTTTGAAAATTAAAAAAACAAAAGTCACCTCCATACACCCTGGCTGGTGATTGCTGCTTACTGACTAGCACAGAGGCTCCAGGACATTGCTGTATTCAGTATAAGAGTGCTCGATCTCTGCATGGCCCCATCCGGTCATTCTGACCATAGCGATCTCCTGGAGGGAGATGTGAGAGGACAGGTCAGGAGAAGGGAGGGCTGTAGCCCAAATGTCCAACTCAGAAATGACAGTTGTATACATTTTGCACAATTTTTCACGATTCATTAATAAATTGAAAAAACTCATTGCTTTATTTCTTGCATCACAGTTACATATGTTCTATTTTTACACATGAATTCTAGGCTAATGTGACATATAAAAACAAGTTGCACTGCATTTATTGACAAAAGACTCTGTTATTATGATCTGAAAATCAACTACTCAGCCATGGTCAAAGTTTTGTATGTTCTCGAATAGCAATCTGATTTTTTGCTGGATCAAAAGACGAACAATCAGTCAATAACGATCATAGTCTATATATTTTTTTTGCTACAAAAAATGCATGTCCTTTTTAAAGTTGTATATTGAATTTGCAAGCATAACTTCCCAAAGAAGTGAATTATGCATCATTATTGTTCATATTGGTAAGGAAACTTTCTGCTGCTGTATGTGAAATCTCCTTTCATGAAGTTTTAATTGATTATATTTATTTATACAGCTTTAAAAGAGCAAGAATACAGAAATCTGTTTGCATTTATCTGTGTCTAGAAAATAGCTAGTATTGGCCTTGTATACATATATATAAATATATATAAATATATATATATATATATATATATATATATATATATATGTAATGTTATAACATTCATTGTAGCATGTCTCTTTATATAATATAAAAATGTCTACTTTTCAAGTCTATTGAAACATTTAAATACAGAAAGGGACTCAACACAGTAAAGGTGGAGACTATATTTAAAATAAGAAAAACTACCACAACAACAGGGCATTATCTTAAATTAGAGGGGCAAAGGTTTAAAACTAATATCAGGTAGTATTACTTTACTGAGAGGGTAGTGGATGCATGGAATAGCCTTCCAGCTGAAGTGATAGAGGTTAAAACAGTATCAGATACCGGACGAAAGGTCCATTTCAATCCAGATAGCCCTCTAGTGGCTGTCTGGTAGACAGAAACCGAGGGCAGACTTAGTGCTGCAATATAAAAATTTTATTTTCTCTGGAACTGCAATGTTTAACATTGCAGCACCAAGGGCAATAGGGACAGTGCACCCAGACCACTTCAATAAACTGAAGTGGCCTGGGTGCCTACAGTGTCCCTTTAAAGCACTTTTTAAAATTATAGAATGTCTTTTTTGAGACCTGGTGATCTAAATTTCTGTAATTTTGCATTTACAATAGAATCCAGAGCAATTGTTTATGCATGAGACAGAACAATCATATTAGACAAGCTTATTACTCTTCAGAACTCAGCAAACACATTACAATATGAAGAGGAAACACAAAAACAGGTGCCTGTCACTGATGCTATGTTGTACATTTAAAAACAAACATGTTGGTTATATTTTTTGCTTTTTACTGTGGTTTTTCAGTTCCCTCATTTTTCCAAATGTCCAGACATAAACCAAAGTGAAAATTCAAGGTGAATTCAAAGTGAATCTCTAATTTAAGTTCAAAGACAGCTATATTTTCAGTTCAGCTTCTCTAGCCTTCAATTTGAAATTCACTTTGAATTCTCAATTCAGTAATCAGGTTCAGACTATTACCCAACCTACATTTATATCATGTGTAACTATTAAAATAAGTCTGCCCATGTAAAGTCATTAATACATTGAATCTCACTAAAAAGAATTTGACGCAGAACTCGTGATGTCGCGAACGGTTCACCGAACGGTTCGCCACGGACTCATCATTCCAGCCAATCAGCAGCAGACCCTTCCTCCCAGACCCTCCCACCTCCTGGACAGCATCCATTTTGAAGCTGCATTCTTAGTAGGCTGTGCAGGAGATGGGAGGGTCTGGGAGGGAGGGTCTGCTGCTGATTGGCTGGAATGATGAGTCCATGGCGAACCTTTCGACGAACCGTTCGTGGCGAACCGTTCGTGGCGAACCGTTCGCGAACCGTTCGGGACATCACTACCCAGAACACAACCTCTAGAGAATTCCAATTAAAACAATGTTTGTTTTTTTCAGCTTAGGCATTTTCCTTTAACAACTTGCTGCACTTTATTTTCGAACCACTTTTCAAAATGTACTCTTTCGGTTTGTACAATAATGTATAATAATAACATAGTATATTAAACTGAAAAAATATATCTTAGACCTATTAAATTCCAACTTCCACATAGAGAACAAACAAACAAAGCAAAACATTGAAGTGATCAAGTTGTTCTTTTGCATACACAATGCTTCATAAATTTTCCTTAGTTTGGGGATTTAATAGAAACAGCTAATTGGACTAACAAACCCAATAAATAGGCATCGATTCAAAACAAAAAGTATATTACAAAACAGCAAACAATAAATAAAAATTGAAATTACTATAATTAACACAAAAAAAATATAATAACCTGGTTGCGATGATCTTTGTATTTCAGATTGGGTTTTAGATTCCAGTGTCATCTTCCTATGCCCCAGCCAATCACATCGCTCAATTCATTCTCCATTATTGCATTGACCGAATTGGCTGTGCTGTGGGATGAAGCAGGGGTTAAATTAACACTCACTCTGCCACAAAATAACACTCACTCTGCCACGAGTGAAGGGATTTAAATGCATTATTGTTCAGGAAATCTTCTTGTCTCCTAGGGGTAGGCAACCTATGGCACTCCAGGTGTTATGGACTACATCTCCCCTCAGGCTTTAACAGCAATATGGCTGAAGAGTATTATGGGAGATCTAGTCTACAACATCTTGCCTACCCTGTACCTTGTTAATATTGTACCCCTATTCAATAAAGTAATTCATAGTCCATAGTAGCTCCCGCTTTATTTTTGGATATTTGCAACCTATGACTAATCACTATTAATAATCCCCTCACCCACTGATTATATAATGAGGTAAGAGAAGATAGACAATCCTTAGTCTAAATGACAAAACATTTTTGTTCTTACAATTATTTATTTTTAACAATGCCTTCTGATATAGCATCCATGAAATGTTAATTTCGATTATTTTTCTAGAGATAGTTCCAAAACAATGTCCAAACTGAGCTAGTTGGTCCTCAAGGTTTCTTTTGTTTTTCATCCAGTGTAATTTTTCAAATAAAGTAAATATGTAAAATTTTTGTCCTTCGAAAGCCGAAATCCAGAGATTAACAGATAACCATCCATGAACCAAGTTTGAATTGATTCTCATTTTAATTATTTTAAATACTTTCAGATATATATGTCACCCTCTAATTTATATAAGCGAGTAATACTTGCGGCCTCTCAGAACAGAGTCTAAATCTCTAGCCTTTGATAAACGTACAGCAAAGGGCCATTTGTGGCTCTACTTATAATTTATTTTATTATTCTGGCAAAATGTTTTATAGGATGTATTGCATTAACATGACTATAATTAGGTGATTATACGATTTTGATGGGAGAGTTGTTGAAAAAAATGAATGAATGTTTCACTAGCAACTCTGTATAGCAGGTTTTCGGTCTTTACGGCATAAGTAGGTCAAAGTGGGATGAATTAATCCGTATTACTTCTGTGAAGTATTCATATTTTCCGAAACAGATGCCAGATGCAGGGTGTATGCATTCATAACCACATTCTATGTATGCTATGATGACTTTATATTCAGGATTAGTATATTCTGTTTAAGGCACAAATATATTTGGGGCTTCAAATCGACACTTGTTATCCAACTTTCAGCATTCACAAACATAATTAAAATAACATAATTGTTTAGTATAATGAAAATAATTCTGACTTTTTAAAGTTGGTTTTGGACACTAATTTTCTCTTTTATTAAAGGGATTCTCTAAACAATATAACAACTGATGTTCCTGTCTCTGCACTGCGATGCTTTCTGGGTTTTGTAGTTCAGCTATTTGCCTTATTCAGTACAGAAATGACAGCTGGGAATAGATTTAATACGTGAGTTATGTAGTACCTATTCTTCTAGAATTTTGGTTAATATAGGCTGGCTTTCTCATTTGGTTTTCTAAAAAATAATTGTGATCGTATCCACAAGAATTCTAAAACGTCATTTTATGAGAGAGACTTCAGATTCAACGTCTACACAAGTCTACTGAATAAACTAACTGGACATTATCAATTCCATTAGAAAGTGATTAATTGATGTCAGGTAATAAATCAGCGTCCTTGTGTATGCATGTCTGCCAGATATAAATCTGTTCTGTTAGGCAGATAGGAACAAGAAGCACAGAATATCATTTATAAAGAAACAATGATCTATTTCATTTCTACATCTCAGAGATAAAAAAAGCCCTATATTAAAGGGATAGTTTTCTGACAGAGTGACTGCTGTTAACAAATGCCCATTGTATTGTGCTTACAGGACTTTTACCTACACAGGCAAAGAGGCATTCTCCCTCCCTAAAAAAACTTATTTTTACCTATGTTTCGTTTAACCCCCTTTTGAATTCAATACCCCCTTGTGTTTCTTATCCCCACTTTTGATTGTCTCACCCACTTAAAGGTACACACCAGTGTCAGGAAAACAATCCGTTTTCCTGGCGCTGCAGGTCCCCTCTTCCTCCCACCCCCATCCAAAGTTGCTGAAGGGGTTAAAACAGTGATGTCCCTCAGCACTTGTTCAGGGTCTGCCAATGCTCCTCCCCCGCCAACGTCATCCGGCGGGGGAGACCTATTGTACATGCGCGACCGGGGAGACCTAATGCTCACGGGCGGCAATGCCACGCACGCGCATTAGACCTCCCCATAGTAAATTTCAATGCTTTCCTATGGGGATTTCAGTGACGCTGGAGGTCCTCATATAGCGTGAGGACGTCCAGCATTTATAACACAATATCTGTGCTATAAACCCAGAAGTACCCTCTAGTGGCTGACAGCCACTAGAGGAGGAGTTAACCCTGCAATGTAAATATTTCTGTTTATGAAAACTGCAATATTTACAGTTGCAGGGTTAAGGGTAGTGGGAGTTGGCACCCAGACCACTCCAATGGGCAGAAGTAGTCTGGGTGCCTGGAATGTCCCGTTAAGTGTATGCTATCCCCATAATTCATCTGGTCCATCTCTTACTCCCACTTAATTGTCTTGCAGGACTTTTATTTCCCTTCCCCAGCCCCTCTGTTTGTTGCTCTCAGTGAGCACTTCCTGTCAGACCGAGAGGAGGAAACAGAAGGTGAATGGCAAGAGGGGAAGAAACTGTGCGGTCTTGCTGGTCACCGGAAATTCTGCCCCCGGGTGCATAGTTTGTGCATAGTACAAATGTGGACCATGCCTGATTTTCAAATATACTAGACTCCTGCACAGAGATTTCTATGGCAAGGCCTAAAGAGAATGTAGAACTTAACATAAGTCACATTTGAAGTCCTAGCATTTGTTGAAAAACTATTCAGCCAGATGCTGACGTAACACTCTATAGAACTGCTGAGCTAATGTAGTGATTTATAGGCACAGAGCAGTGTTAAATTTGGCAGAAATTTTCCGTTTCGTTTTAGTCATAGTCTTTTGACTAAAAAGATATTTTAGTTTCAGTCGTCTGAATTGTTTTAGTTTTGGTCTAGTTTTAGTTGACTAAATCTCCAGTTCATTTTAGTTGACATGACTAAAGTCTAATGGGTTTAATTAAAGTCCCTATCTGTCTCTTTTACCCCTTCCCCAGCCCCTCTGTGACTCTTTGTGTCCTCCATGCCCCTCCAGGTGACTCTCTCCCAAGCCCTTGTCTGTCCCTTTTGCCTCAATTTAGTTTGACAATTTAGTCTTTTGACTAAAAAGCAATTTTAGTTTTAGTCATATTTTAGTCACCTGAATTGTTTTAGTTTTAATCTAGTTTTAGTCGACTAAATCACGTAAATTTTAGTCACGTAAAATTTGACTAAAATTGTTAGTTGACACAATTAACACTGGCACGGAGAGGGTTTTTGGGAGCTGCTGTTAGATTGTCAGCTTTAGATCGAAAGCTCTCAGCAGAACATCTCATAGAACAAAAACTAATCTGATTTAAATTTAGATTTTACTAATTAGTTGTTTAAAAAAAAAAAAAAAATGTGCTTAATTAAAAAAAAACAAAAAAAAACAGCCAGCATAAATAACTAACCTAGCCTTTGTTTACCTTCAAATTTTCACGGGTTTTTTTTTTTTTTGTGGCTACTTTATATCCTCATTGAGGGGAAATTGTTTGTACTTTGACCACACCAACTCATTGAAGAGGTTATTGTCCCAGAAGTACCTAGTGCTGTCCCTTATTTCACTGTTAAACCATGAATTAGGGTGTCCTGCAGCCCTCATGATAATAGATAATACCGTCTCATAGCTCTGGTAACGTATAGATCACTGGGTCTCTAAAACCCATAAATGTCATTATTTTAATGTATTAAAGGGACACTATAGTCACCCAGACCACTTCAGCTCAATGAAGTGATCTGGGTGCCAGGTCCCCCAGGTTTTAACCCTTCAGATATAAACATAGCAGTTTCAGAGAAATTGCTATGTTTACATTGCAGGGTTAATCCAGCCTATAGTGGCTGTCATCCTGACAGCCGCTAGAGGCATTCTGTGACGTATGGGAAATTCACATCCAGCATGCACAACGTCGATAGAAAAGTATTGAGAAATGCTTTCCTATGGACTGTTTGAATGCGCTTGCGGCTCTTGCCGCACATGCGCATTTCGCTCCACTCGGGAGCTGACGTCGGCGGGGGAGGAGAGGTCACCAGCGCCAAGGGAGCCTGGCGCTGGATAAAGGTAAGTGGCTGAAGGTGTTTTAACCCCTTCAGCACAGCGGGAGGGGTGCCCTGAGGGTGGGGGCCCTAAGGGTTATATAGTGTCAGGAAAACAAGTTTTTAGTTTTTTATGACACTATAGTGATCCTTAAATATATATATATACACATTGACCCTTCTCATGCCATTTCAGAAT